AGTACTTGCACGCTGGCTAATTTCATAGATAATTCCTTTTCGCCGATTGCATGTTCGATTAATAGTTTTGCTGCTTCTTTTGGTTTACCTTCTTTACTAAGTTGTACAGCTTTTATGAACATTGCATCTGCTACAAGAATAATGCAATCTTTCGCAAGATTATTGCACAGTTGGTGACATTGCTCTCCCTGGAAGTATATAATAAGCATGTGTCTATCTTAATTTAAATAATAAAGCATCACACATACATACACAAACACACATATATGTACACAGAGTGGAGAAAAAAGATCGGTACCCTGAATAATTAAGAAAAATATAAGTTTTATGGAAAAATATTTCAGACAAAAGTTGTAAGATGTAAAAAGATACCAATCTTTTTTCCCACTCTGTATATATATGTATATGCATAGTATATATATATATGTGTGTGTGTGTGTGTACATGTGCATACATATATATATAATAGCATATATACACATATGCATTATTATATAACAGACTTACTTGATCAGTGTAAAATGCTAGTAAACATTGATTGTATGCGATATTTCTTCTTTGCTTAGTAGTTAATTTGTGCTCTAAACTTTCGTGAGTGGCACTTTTCATTCTCTTTTTACTATCAAAGACATTTTGATCTTTATTTAGACATACTAAATTGTTACTAGCTACAGCGACCAATGCAATATCATCTGGCTTAGCTTTTAGAGCAGCAGTATATAATGCATGTGCTTCTTTTTCTCGACCTTGTAATTGTAAACAATATCCAAGTTGTACTCGAATTACACCTAATTCATTTTCAATCTCCTCTTCAGATACTCCATCTTCTTCCAATCCTTCCTTGCACATTTTCTCAGCGGTTCTCAATTTCTTTTCTGCTTCTGCTAAAATAGCTTTATAATCTCCATTTCCTTGAGCAAGTAAACGACATGCTGCATTGTATGTTAATTCATAAGTATGTTCACGTAAAGGAGGAACTTCTAAATCCTAGAAATTATCTTTATATGTTAAAACGATCAATCTTTTTTAATGTTAAACTGTTTTAATTTTCTAAAATATAACGATACTTACTGAACCTTCAATTGCTAAATTTGCAAGCACAGCTGCAAGATTTGTTTCTCTTTCTTCTTCATACTCGTCATTTGAATTCTTAATGATATCTCTGTATACTGCAAAACATTCTTCATATTTCTCTAGGCGATACAATATCTGAGCTTTTAGTTCTTTAATTTTTAGAGAAGGATTTTGCACATTTTCTATCACTTTTAATGCTTCAGAAACTTGATTTAATCGATACAGACAATATCCTTTTTCAAATTCCAAATTTCTAGATTAGGAAAGAAAGCAATTTATAAAATATTATACGTATATAATATAAATATTGTAACATATAATATGTTATACGTTGCTAATTTCGGTGTTTTAACAATAAGTTGCAATGCCTCGTTGAATTTGGACAGCTGGATGTAGCAAATAATCTTACAATGAAACGCTACTTCTTCATCCTGGGAGATGCCTAAAACTAAATAATGAAATGATATCGTAGTTAACTAACTTCAAATGATTTTCTTGTTTCAGAATGTTTTTTGAATCTTAATTGTCCGAAAAAAATGATATAAAAATAATTTTACGAAAGTATCTATGTGAAATGACAGCGTTAAAGCAAGGGTAAATATACCAATTATTTTTGTTATAATTATTGATTTCAGTTTCACTATTTTAACAAATAACTTAATTGTAATTTAGCTTACTTCTGTTTACAGTTTTTAGAGCCCTCTCATATTCTCCATTTTGTCCTAATTTATTTAATTCCGTGTACAATACAGAAAGGTTACTTTCTTTCGAAGCCATGTTCTTCAATCAGGCACATACGTGTGACGTGTGGCCGGTGTGACACAAGTGACAACGTGGAATTGCGCTATCTACGCATGCACAAATGCAGGGGTTCTATTCCTGAACAAAAATCGCATACGAAAATAACAATTCGTATTATATATATATATATACAATCGACCAATTACAACCGAGAAACTATCATTTTTATATGTGAAAATTATTTATGTGCTCAAAGCTATGTTCCAAAATTCACTGTCAGCGCTGAAAATGTACAGTTTACGTGACGTATACTGTACATTTTCAGGTTGGGTGTCAAATGGAAAGTGAAAAGTGAAAAATTTCTCCATTAATTTTAATGGTAAAAATTTTCACTTTTCACTTTCCATCCTAGGAATAAAGTTTCATGATTGATACCTTGGCAGCAAATTTTGGAACATAACCCAAGAAAGGGTCTTAAGCCTTGTGTTCACGATATTAGAAATCGGTCCGAGACCTCGGATGAAGAAAGAATTGACCAATCACAATGGACATATGATAAATTGTTCAAATGTGATTTGTTAATTTTTTCTATGTCCGAGATCTCGGACTGATTTCTAGCATCGTGAATTTAAGGGCCTTTATTTTTGAAAAGAAATGTAATGAGGAACTAGGGAGTACTATAGTATACGTGACGTATACTATAGTATTTTTCGTATTTTCTTTTCAAGAATAGTTTAGGCGCAGTATAAGGGATTCCGCAGAATAAAAAAGAAATAGGAAACAGAGAACAGAGAATAAGAATTTCAACCTATCAGAAACTATGTATTCCACAATACATGATTTCTGATAGATTGATATTGAGATAGAAATTCTTATTTTCTATTCTCTGTTCCGTGTTTCTTTGTATTATGCGGATCCCCTAACTACAATAATGACGGTAGATGTCTGCTTCTTTGATGTCGGTGTCTTCGATCACGTGACTGTCAGCCATGTTGAGGGTTTTATGGACCGCTGAATTTGAACGGTATCAAGAGACGTAGTATTTTGTATATAAGGTAAAGTATTGGGTCTAAAAAGTATCCGCGGTACTTTGTCACTAGATATATGACCATCAACACACATCTAGTGACAAAAAACCGCGGATACTTTTTAGATGACCCAATATTTTAAAAATTCGAATAAATTCTATATATGATTTTAGTGTACCACTGTATATTAGTATAGGTCTATTTTTTGTTTCTTCAATATATTTCTGGAATGAGCCAAATGAAATCACAAAACGTTATTAAATTTGTAATTTTTTATTATATAAAAGCTATATAAATAAGAATACTTGTAATATTAGGTGTAGTAAAAAGAAATCCATTATTTTACATATCACGCGTAGACGAAATGCAGATTACTAAAGCCATCTATTGGAAAAATAATGGATTTCTTTTTACTACACCTAATATCTTATATTGGGTCATCTAAAAACCGCGGATACTTTTTAAATGACCCAATATATGCCGAAAAGTTACAATTTTTCTTCTGCAGTTATCATCTCTATTGATAATCAAACTCGGATAATATCATTAAAATCACAGTTTTAAATAAAAATCGAGTATTAAGTTTTAAATATATGTACATGTCTACAAAATTAAATTATGAAATTAGTACGGAACGCATTTTATAAATACTATATACGGTCCAATTTTACAAATTACATTAAAAACATTTTGGCTTTTGAATAATAAACTGTTGTCACATATGAAAACATACGTCAATTATATTATTGTTAATTATTTCCATTAATTTAAGTATTAATGGAAATAATTAACTTAAAAGGAATTATTTCCATTAATTTAGGAATATAATGTTCTTTGAAACATTTGTTGTCACCGTCGCGCGACAAGATTTTTCAAATTTTATAATCAACTCTCATATTTTTTTGGAATATTTGGATTTAACAAATTCTTTAAATAATATGTGCAAAGAAAATGAAATAGAATACGTGGAATTTCTTATTATTTCCATTTTATCAGTTAAGAATGTACACAAAATAGGCGTACATGCATAAAAAATATATATTTGCGAAAAAGTAAAATATATGTCCATATACATATAAATATTTGCAATTAAGTATAAGATATAATAATTATGTAAAAAATTATATATAAAAAATAAAATATATATTGATCAATTCTTCTTATGCATTTTTTAAAATTTATATCACAAATTTTAAATTATATTCAATAATAAGAAAAGAACTATTTTTAATAATAGTTGCAAATACACATTGCGCAATCTATTTGCAATATTACAATACATTCCAATAAGATATATCTGCAATTATTTTGCAATCTTTCTGTGCTGTATGGGTTATTGTGTCATTTTACATCTTATTTATAATTGCATTATTTATAAATTTTTCATAAGTTATACATACCTTCCCTCTCTCTACGAGTAGCCATACATCCCACTCCTATAGGATATTCGGCAAAAATGCAAGAGTTTCAAAAAATTCCTTTTTTAATATGAAAAATAAGTATTTCGAATTTCTAATATTTTTTTTATAGCAGTAGACAAAGTTTTTACTGATATAGTTCATTTATCTTAAAAATGATAAATAATATTTAATAAATTAAGTTTTTGTTAGGTACAACGTATACAATGCCGGAGTTATTCTATAGTAAAAATAAATAGTATTTTTGCTTTTATTACGATGACATCGCTAATAAAGATATTGAGACATTAAAAATCATAAAAGTAGAAAAAGTACAGAGAAAACATGCAGCTTATTAAATTCTTTAATAAAAGTTATTTCAATCTTATGCTTATTTGCAGTAATAATTTATTTTATTTTACAAATGTTATGTATTTTTTACTTCATAATTGCAAACAAATTTATAATTTATATTAAATTATAATGTGCCTAATTATAAATAGCACACTTATTATTATTTAAGGGAACGTTTTTAGGACATAGGGATCTAAATGTAACATTCCTTCTTTCTTTGAAACATTCCTTGAAGATTTGCTATTAGGAATTTAGAAATTTTTATTTTTAATCAAATTGATTTTATATTGATTCTTGAATAACTTAGACTGAAACACTATTCAATTTAATATATGTTCGATCTAATAATTCTTATTATTTGAGGAGGAAAGGTTAAAAAGAGTGGAGAATTCTCTAGCCTTTTAACTTGTTTTGCTAAAACGAAACGTGTATTTAATTTTTTATCAATATAGTTTTGTATTAACACATGTGCAAGATAATATTTTAATGTTATCTAAAATATAATAGACGATAGATGACATTAAAATCTCTTTAATAGTTCCAATTCGATTTTCTTGCAGAATTTGGTTTTATTCGCTCAAAGCTCGCCGACGACTTGCTTGAAACATTTAATCAAATTCTTTCCCTTTTGGCAACCCTCTCCATCTGAAACAATTGCAATATTTTATTTTATTTTCATTTGAGAGAAAAAATATTTGAGAAAAACCACTATAAGATTATAATATTGATTGCATTCCGATATTCACTGGCTGCGTTCAGCAGAACCAATCATATTAAAGAATCACTAAGCGCTAACTGATTAATTTTCTCTGCTGAACGCAGCCACTGCCAGTGCTGAAAATTTATAATGCACGTAAAGCGTATCATACTATAGATTTTCAGTACTGGCAGCGAATATGGAAGCGCAGTCAATTCTTTAACGAATAAAAATTGATCTTGGCTTTTGTTAAATTTTTAATTTATGTTATACTTACCAACGTTAGCGCATTCACTACGTACTCTATTGAATTCTTCTGGCGATTTATTACGTTTTAACATGTGCTCCTGAACTTTGTCCCAATCAACTTCTCCATTCTCTTTCAACTAAAGTACAGAAATAGAAATTAATTTCTCATTAATTAATTTTTTTAATGTACATTATATATAGGGTTCTGAAATTTGAGGGTAATATATTATTACAATGTGAAACTTTGTGAAAAACTAAGTAATAAAAGTATACACTATTTTTTTCCCATAAATTAGGTCTTTAAATATAAACATTTAAAGTTTGACTAATTATAAATGTTAATTAAAAAGTTATCTGTCCGTGTGATAGTGTGCATGTGTGCAGCGACAATGTCTTATTTAGTATTTAATACACTGCACATGTGTCACATGGACAAATGACTTAACTCTTATGATTATAAGTCAAACATTAAGCGCTTATACTTAAAAAAATTACTTTACGGAAAAAAAGTCTTACACTTTTATTATTTAATTTTTCACGAAGTTTCACACTGTAATAATATCACCCTCGAATTTCGGGACATCTTGTATATGTAAAATGCAATACAAATTTCGCTTACAGTTCCGAATTTCATTAATATACAGGTATCGAAACAGGCTAATTTTTCGTCATTGTCATCTGGTTCCCCTTTCTTTGCTTTTTCAATTACGGCTAAAATTTGCATTATTATTAATATAATTATTTATTTAATAAGTTTTTTAATTATGTAGTTAGTTTATTCTCCACTTACCCGGATCGACACCAGATTCATTGATACATTCTTCTTTAATCTGTTTCCATTTTTCGTGGCCTTCCTCGTCACCCTACAATCAAATAAGAATTTGAATATTATAAAATTATTATTCACATATTAATGTTATATTTAATAATTAACGCATTTTTTAATGTGTCTATTTGATATTTATAAAATATTTTCATAATATATCCTGTGGAAGTTAAATAAATATATTGTATTTTGAAAAAGAAATAATAGATATATTATATGATATAATATAATATAATTTTAAGAATACGTATATGAATATCAGTAAGTTTGATAGAATTGAAGTAAGTAGAATGAAAATTAATTATACTAAAAATAAGATGCAGAATATTTTGTAGAGAAATGGATTAAATAGATTATTAATGGAGATACACATAATAATGAAATAATCTTACCAAGACGGCGACGAAAGAAACGGCGAGCAAGATAACGATTGTTTTCATTTTGATTTTTCGTTTCAACACGATGGAATACAAGCCCGTGATCAAAGAGTTACTGACTGGATCGCAAGATAGTATCCTAAGCTTTTATAGTTTATGACATAATGACCCTCCTTGATTCCTTTTCTAGCGTGGGGGAGTACCCGAATTATATTCATTATTCTTTCGAAGTAGCAACATAAATCATCGCAATAATAGCAATGTATAATATTTTTAATCTTGAAATTCTGCTATTATAATGAATATAACAGACAATGAATAGCAAAATTATTTTTTAAATATATAACACTTGTTTTATATATATATATATATGTATATATATATATACACGGTGTTTGATGAATAACGATAAAACTCTCGCACAGAGATAGAGCGGACTAAACTGAGTTGAAAAGTTCTCTACGATTTTGCAATTTTCACAATAATTAACAAGATATCATTATATTAAAAATCATCAAATATTGATTTTCAATAATTTTTTATTCAAGTACTATTAACTTTACAGAAAAACAGCAAGAGACAAAAATTATTTATTTTCTTCTTATAGAGCTCTAAGAATTTTTTCAGAATTTTTTAATGTACTTTTTAGTACTGTATTTTTTTATTGGCAACTATTTTTAGCAATGAAAAAATGCGGTACTAAAAAATTTTCTATAAAGTTGATAGTACTTACGTAAAAAATTATTGAAAATCAATATTCGGCGATTTTTAGTAATTAATATCTTGTTAACTATTGCGAAAATTGTAAAATGATAGAGGACTTTTCGACTCAGTTTAATCCGCTCTATCCCTATGCGACTTTTATTAAACACCCTGCATATGTTTAAGATGTTCACCAAAAATAAAAAAATAAAAATAGTATATTAAATAAGAAATCTGAATTTTTATTCCAATTATAGTTACTACAAACTTTCATAAGTTGTAAGATAAAAAAATCAATGAACATGAATACTGAGGCCGTATTCATGATGCACTTTATAATCATAAGTTTGTTCGTGTTGTTTGTACTTTTTGTATGTCGTTCCAATATTCGAATAAACATTTGTCTCTTTTTAAGGGGAAAAATTTTTGGGGATTTCAAGCAACGTGAACAAATTTCATGCTAGCGCGTATTTAGTTTACGTTATATTATAGAATTTCAGAAATAAAAATGCGTATTTATATCGATAAAAGCGTGTTCTAAATATGCTTGAATTTTGTGTAAATTGAACTTAAAGAGGCGCGATGGAAAGAAAATAGTTACTTTTTATTATGACACAAGTGATACTGAATCTAAAGGTCTGTGAATATTTTATATTCAGATAATGACGTTACCATTTACTTACTTTGGTCACAAAATTATATTATCGCAATACAAATTTATAAATCTCACTTTTAATGTGAATAAGACTTAGTGAAGTACAAGCTCTCGAGCTTGCAGTTTGTAAATAAAAACTCAATCGAATTTCACTTGATAGAATGAAAAGGAACGTGCATTCAATTGAATTATGACGCAAACAGGATTAGTAAAGATTAACGTTTTTTTTTTAGAATAAAACGTGGTTTTTTAAAAATATGTTTTTAATGCTTCAAATATGCTTTAAACAGTACTATAAAAAAAAAACATATTAAAAACATCAATTAAGCATGTTTTAAACTGTTTAAAACACGTTTAAAATATGTTTTTTTACTAACCCTGGTCACAAATGAGAATTATCTGAATTTTGGTGTAAGTGAAAAGCAACTAATATCTATTACAAATTTTCTTTGCGACATAAATGAAACAAAGAGAGAACAAACTTTTAAACGAAGCAACACAGAATAATGTAACTACGTACAATCGCTGATGGTTTATTACGCAACGAATGACGATAATCACTGACAATAACAAAGAATGGAACACAAAATTTGACATTCATCAAAAAAGTGCGACATGAGATTATATTAATTTAATGTTTCAGTATCATTTTAATTCTACTATTAGCTTAACATATTAGTGTCATTAAAAGCTATCTTTCTAACTGTGTTTAATTAAGATAAGATGGAATAAAAGTGCGCGATTTTTCTTTTTCTTTCTTAAAAGTCATTAAATAGAACTACTTCCTGTTAAAAATTCCTATAATAAATATAAATTCTCTGTTTTTCTTGTAATTATTCTCGAAATAAATGCTTGATCTAAAGATGAGTATCTACCGGACGCATATACAATTAAATTTCTTGGAATTATTATGGTTATGTCTATTATTTAATAAAGTTTTATTCTGAGAGATGATTACCTCATACTATATGTATACGTACACGCATCGCACACTCATTATTATCATCATTATAGAGTTAATTTTATATAATTTCCTTCATTGTAATAAAGTATAGGTGTCCTTCTCCTGTCATAAAAAGTTGCGATATTTACTATGTAATTTAGTTTACGTATACATTTCATCATAACGAATAATCATCGTGATTCAAATGAAGATCTGCAAGGACAGATTGCAATTTTCAAAACTAATTATCGGAACTTTGTTTGATAACTGTTGATACTTATATAAGAATGTTTTAGTTATATATATTAGGTGTACAACTTTGCTTCCGCCGTTTTTTTTCCGAGACTTTATTGTAAAAAACTGATTATACATTTATGATTCAAAATATTGTCCATCGCTGACCACTACTTTCTCCCATCTTTCGGGCAGCGTACGAATCCCGCGTCGAAAAAACTAGTCATCTTTTGAGGCGATTCACGAATCGATCCAATTTTTTACTTCTTCATAAGACCGGAAGTGCTGGTCAGCTAGGCTATGTGCCATTGATCGAAACAAGTGATAGTCAAAGGGAGCAACGTCTGGAGAATACGGCGGGTGGGGTAGGACTTCCCATTTCAACGTTTCCAAATATGTCTTGACCACTTTCGCAACATGAGGTCGAGCAAGCAAAATCACTTTATCGTGTTTCTCGTTGTATTGCGTTTGTCTTTCAATGCTCGGCTCAAACGCATCAATTGCGTTCGATACTGATCGCCTGTGATTGTTTCAGTCGGTTTTAACAGCTCATAATACAATACGCCGAGCTGGTCCCACCAAATACAGAGCATGACGTTGGAGCCGTGAATATTCGGTTTGGCCGTCAACGTGGAAGCATGGCCGGGAACTCCCCGGCCTGAACTGATTTTCTGCGCTTGGGATTATCGTAATGAACCCATTTTTCGCCCTCAGTTACAATGTGATGCAGAAATTCCTTCCGTCTTTGCCTTTCAAGCAGCTGTTCACAAACAAACAAACGCCGTTCAACATCTCTCGGCTTCAACTCGTACGGCGCCCAATTTCCTTGCTTTTGAATCATTCCCATGGCTTTGAGGCGTTTTGAAATGGCTGGTTGAGTCACTCCCAATGATCGTGCCAATTCTTTTTGATTTTGACACGAGTCTTGATCAAGTAATGCTTCCAATTCTGCATCTTCGAAAACCTTCTCTCTTCCACCGCTATGCCGGTTTTCGACGTGAAAATCACGGTTCTTGAAGCGTTGAAACCATTCACGACACGTTCTTTCACTAATAGCGGCCTCACCATAAGTATTTGAGAGCATTCGATGAGCCTCAGCCGCGGATTTCTTCATATTGAAGCAGAAAATTAAAACCTTCCGCAAATGATGAGAATTTGGTTCGTAAACTGACATTTTCAATGTCAGTTTTTTTCGAGAGAATAACTTTATGATGCAGGCACAAATCGACTAATATTTCTATAGGATTATGTTGACAGATGCCCAAATTTATTGTATGACGTCTATGATCTATTTATTTCGACCACCACTTACCGCTAAAGCTATCTATAGCAAAACGGCGGAAGCAAAGTTATACACCATAACAGCTAGTATTATCTAGGAATATTGATCAAAATATCAGTTATAAAAAACCAACATTAGTTAATTCAACATCAGAGAATTAACAATTTATTGTCAAATACATTCTGAAACTAATAAAAAAACAAAGCAAAGAAATAAAATAACAAATAATTAAATAATTTAGCTTATAACAGTTTTTATATTGTATATATAACGAAATAATCATAAATTCAGACAATACAAAGTTCAAAATCGGGACATAAAACGTTTAAAAAAAAGTCTTAAGATATTTGTAAACGGCAAGAATCGTCCTGATGTTTATCTTATGTCCCGATTTTAGCTTTGTGTTGTCTGCAAGATATATTTTGCTGCAGTTTTAGGTAAATAACTTTTAAATGTGTAAATGAATCCAAATAAACTTTTGCATAAATATTTATTAGAGTTTTATTAGTTTTTTTTAATTTGTAATGCTTTGACAAATGTCCACTTTTAATTACTATAACAAACAAAAAAATTTAAACAGTTGGGAGCACAGACTCTTATCTGGTAAAAAATTTTTCATGCATGAATATATATAAATATGTATAACATATAATACATAAACACGTATAAATATAACATACATAATTATACACTTTTTCTTTTGTAAAATTACTTTTTAATGTAATAAAAATAACAATAATGCGAACATCAAAGTAATTAAAAGAATAATCGCATTGTTAGTTTTAGAAAAAATCAAGTTATGTAAAAAAATTGCTCACACAATTATGTATAATTTTATATATAATTTTATATAAACAATTTTTTTACATTTTTCAAAATTTTTTTTTTAAAACAAATAGTGCGAAAATTATCCATTAAATTATTTTTAATGTTTTCACATTATGTTATTATTTAAAAATAAAAAATTAATCTTCTTTTCTTTTGTAAAATTACTTTTTATAAAGAAGCATTTGATGCAAATTGACCGTAACTGTATACTGTATGTCATAATCTGTAAGAATTAACTAATCACAATTGAGTATTCCTCTCTCATTCGACTGTAAGAACTTTTTTTTTGCTTTTCTGCATCATTTGAGACCTTATACATCTCATTTAAACAATTACGTGTATTGTTATTGATTAAAAAATAAAAATAAATATTTAGTGTAATTTCGGTATATAAGGCCGACAAGTGTTTTCTTTTTGACATTTGATTATTTTTGTGGATGTTTTTTAATAACGTATACAGATGATACAGTGTAAAGGTGCCTTTTCATGTTGAAAACGCTCAACGCTCATTTTCAGCGTCAAAATAGATCACGTGATCAAAATTGTCGCTAGATATTCGCCACGTGACTTATTTTAACGCCGAAAATGAGTATCGAGCGTCAGCATGAAAAGGCACCTTTAAAGCCCGATCTACAATTGCATAAATGTAGACTTAGGTCGTTATTCATAGTCGAGTCGTTTTTTTTCAAGACCGTAAGTAATGTTTTAAGTAATGTCTTAAGACATTAATGCAGCCTTCTAATTGGTTCATGACTTCTTAAGACCGTACTTAAAACGATCTTGAATATAAGATCTAATGCGTATTCATAGTAAAACCTTGTACCTAAGACTTCTTTAAATTTATCTTCAGATGCTTAACAGCCAATAAAATAATTCGTAGAATATCTAAAAATAAATTTAAGAAAGCCTTAAATATGAGGCCTGACTATGAATACGAGTATGACTATGAATACTGGTCTTAAGGTTATGGGAATAGTAGTAGCAGTAAATGTTGTACAACATATTAATCTACAATCGAGTAAAGATTCAATGAACTTTCATCTTCAAATAAAACATTACTCACAACACTTTCTCCGTGTTCTATACTCGTAATATAATATATAATAATATATAAAATATATATAATAATATATAAAAAACTCGTCAAATAATATATCATAAAATGAATAAAAAAATGAAAAGGACACTTTGCATTTCTTTCCATACGTCGAGATAAAATAAAATGTATGTTTAATAAAAATAAATCAATTAAATCGCGAAATTTTTAATACATTTTATTGTAGTATTTGATAAAATATACATTGGGTATTTTATTAATTGAGCTCTCTCACTTTTACAGTTAGATTAGATTAATGTACAACAGCTTTAATGTTTACTGAGTGCGCACCAGTTCTGCCAGTGAAAAACGCTATAAACTGCGTTCGAACAAGTACTTTATACAGTGATCTAGAACCAACTACAGTTGAGTATTCTCCTGATACAGTCGAACGACAAGGGAATGTTCGACTGTAGTTGGTTGGTTCTTACATTCTGATCCGGTTTAAACCCTCGGTGGAAACTCTCTATTGCCCGTATTCATAGTCAGTTCATTCTTGTACTTAAGGCTTCCTTAAATTTATCTTTAGATGCCTCAGCAGCCAATGAAATAATTCATAGAGTATCTAAAGATAAATTTAAGGAAGAAATCATGTATTGTGGAATACACAGTTTCTGATAAGTTGAAATTCTTATTTTTTTCTATTCCCTTTTCTCTATACCCTGTTCCTTTTATTGTACGGAGTCTCTTAAATATAAGGCCTGACTATGGCTGTGATTAAAGTCTCGCTATAAATGCTTTGAAGCATTTGGTGGACCAATTAGAAGAAAGAATTTTACAAACTGACTAATTAAAAAACGCTTCAAAGCGTTTGCAACATCGCATTGACCGTACCCTATGAATACGAGTATGTCCTAGCTGGAAAACAGCCCTGTAACAACTCTCTGATTGGTTGACACTGCGCACTTCAGCAGCGAAACAACTTAACCTATTTTAGATCAAACAGACCAGACTTCACATCGTCAATCATTAGAAGCGCTGAGTAGTTAGTTTCATTAACTTTTTTGGCAAACAGTATGAAATTACAATTGTCAAACCTGCCAAACTATTTTATGGAACATGGGAGATAAAGGTATTTGATTATCTTTTCTTTATTAATGATTATATTAAATGTTGTGTAAATCAAAATTTTTTATGTTAGAGCATCATGTTCACTTTAGCGGTGGAAGTGGATTTGGAAAAGATAACAATATTATGATACAGCCACAGCGACATGGTCATATAGACGCTCATTTAGGATTCTTGCAATTGTATCACAGGTTATTTGTTATATATAAAACTTATATAAATATTTTATAATTTTATATTGGTTTGATTGCTATGTTAAATGCTAAAAACTAGACTTTAATTTCTGTCAATTGCAATTATTTATTAAAATTTATATATATACAAAATATATTAGGAAAGGGAATGCATATATTAATTTTTAAATATTTTATATATATAGGGTGAATCAGAGTCGTTGAACCAACTTTTTACTCTATGAGAGAATTATCGACTTCATACCTAATTAAATTATTAACGTGTATAGTCAATTATATTTTCATAAGGTAAAAAGCTGGTTCAACGATTCTGATTTACTCTGTATATGTATATATTAGGTAGTAAAAAGAAATCCATTATTTTTCCAATAGATGGCTTTAGTAATCTGTATCTCGTCTACGCGTAATACAGATTACTAAAGCCATCTATTGGAAAAATAATGGATTTCTTTTTACTACACCTAATATAATATTTATTTCAGATATCACGTAGAATTTTCAGTACCATGGAACACATGTATTCATCCAGACGAAAAGACAGTAGCTCCGGCAGTAATTGCAGGAAATCACAATGCAAATTGTCATATTATCGATTTTGCACAAGAAAAAGATGGCTTAAGGTATAACATTGGTTACATATATGTTTATCACGTTAATCAAATATCTTTCTTTTTAAATTGATCTAGCTAATGAAATAATTGATCCTTTTATCAGGTTAAAAGTTGAGCTATTGGCATATAAGGAGAAAATATTAAAAGAAAATGTTGAAGTGATGTGTTGTCCATCAGGTACTCCATTAAAAATTGTACTGAATGCACGTGTGTTAGCTAAAGACAAGGGTACACCATTGTTGAGAAATGGCATACGCAGTATTGCTGTAGAAGGAACCAACGAAGATGAAATGTCTGAATAATGTTGCTTATTATCGAGCTATCTTTTGCTGATAAATATTTAAGCATTTAAGTGCTGAATACTAGTTCAAATGAATGAACAACTCAGCATAGCCAAAAGATCTTGTAATCAGACTACAGCGAATGTTGCAATTGTAAATGGCTAAGCTCCACGAGAGAAGATAATTTGCCTACTGCTCTTAAAAATATATCACGCGCAAAATGTCTGCAAAAGCAATAATATCACTTATTCTCTACCACTTATTATGTACGCATTATGTATTAAACAAATTCTATTTTATTATCATTTTATATCAATCAATATCGATGTTAATTTCCAACGAAACTTCTGCTAAATAAACATCAGTGGCACTAAATTATTTTTCAGTTGTGATCATGAAGATCAATTATTTGAATAAACTGAGACGTAAAGTCCTCCACCGTATTATCGTCAACCATCTTTGGCATTCTCATTAAAATCGCATCAATTTATCTTCTGAATGTCTTATATAGAATGTTCAATTGTCATTGCCCCAGGCAAATATCTTAAAAGAAATATATATGAGATACGAAAAAAAAATGATGAAAAATGAAAGAGAAATGGTTTCGAAGATGATGTATTTTGGTTTTTTTAAATGGACTGTTTTTTTAGATGATTAATATTTCATGTCAATATATATATATTGGAATAAAATATAAAATATTTCGTAAATTATTAATTTTCTGATATTCCTACTTTAATACTTTTATATGTAGAATAATTGGAGGAATCATATTGTGTAAAAAAGTTACACAATTTTATTTAAAAAAACGGAGGTGATCTTCGTATCTTCTTAGAGCAGTTATTTAAAGGAGAAAAAAAGGAATCAAAATACATCCCTCTCAAAATCGTTCTTTTTTTCATCTAAAATATTTTTTCATATTTTATATATTTTTTAAGATATTTGCCTAGGGCAATTAAAATGGGACATTCTGTATATCATATATCACAATTATTTTAAAATTCGAATTGAAACGATGCGTCTCAGTTTTTTTGCCTAATCGATTTTAGCGATAGTAGGTCTTAACATCGAAAATTGAATTTTTTCATAGGAATTCCAGTTGGGCCGTCTACAAATTCACAAATGTTAAAACCTAGTCTTGCTAGTGGATGACAATTGCTTCTTGGATTACCCCATTTGCCCTTAAAAGTCATCCAACCTGGTAAAGGCTCATTATCCTCTTCCAAGAGCAACTCCAATCTTTTCCATGTTGGCCAAGCAGTTCCAAATCCACTCTCGTCGTACAGACGAGGTACACGAACGAACTTGTGCTTGCCTGGAGCTGTCCAAAGTCCGTGAGAGCCGCGTGCGCTAAATAAAATCGGATGTGAATCACCAGCGGTATAAACCTTTTCAGGAAATGTTGGCTTCTGGAAGAGACCTTTTCTCGTTTCTTGACTCTCATAGACGAAAGTACCATTTCGCGGATCATACTGATAAAATGCACCGACATCGTGTGCCGATACATACATTGCCAGAGGATATTCGTTGTCCTAAATGACGATATGGTATTTAGGTGGGCATGTTTATGTGAATGATGATAATGGATAAAAAATTTGAAGGATTGCTAAAGATGATTTACCTTGAAATAAAGACTCATATGTTCCCAATCTCCAATGTGACTACCATATTCTTTAAGCGTACCTATGCACACGCCGCCAATAGTAGGTATCGGCCAGCTGCCAAAAAATCCAAGATCCAATACGCAAATCGTTTTTCCTTCACTAAACGGATAGAACATCCAATAGGTCACGTGAAAGTGCACTTTTTGACATCCACTCTCTTCTCTTACCTTTTCGAATCGCGGCAGTGTTGCCGCCTGAAATGAATCGCATGGAAGAAAAGAGAATGAAATTAAAATTATTTCTTTTGGATTATTTCATATTTTTTCGGAAGCAATAATTAAGTAATAATTAACAAAAGCAACAATATGTGCAAATTCAAAACAATTCAGCAAATTTAATCATTTTCATTTGAAATTTACGAAAATTATAAAAAGATATTTGTTTAATTCCCAATAAATTAAAAGATATATATAACGTACATCAATGTTTTAATTTCATACTGAATAATATAGATGTAATATAACAAGTGTGTTACATTACATTGCCTTGGTAGAAAAATTTCGCTGAAATTATTCCACGTTTTGGAGTCACTTCAGCAAAATTTTAGCTTTCAGAAAAATTTTAATTTAATTTCAGCGAATTTTAGTTGAAAAATTCATTTTCAACAAAATTTTTCAGAGAAATTTCAGTTCAATTTCAGTAATTTTTCAGTATGATGAAAAATTCACTTTCAGTGAAATTTTCAGCAATTTTGTTGAAATGTTTCAAAACGTGGAATAATTTCAATTCAATTTCAGCAAAATTTTTTCATCAGTGTTGAGTGTAAAATTGTAACGTTGATGTTACGTTACTTTTAGTTGGTGTTACTGAGTTCTTGCCTATTTTCGCATATTTTACCTGTCGTATTTGTTCTTGCGATAAAATTTGTGCTCTTAGATCACTGACACTGTTCGTCTGCCGTTGAGCCAAAAATCCTGGATCCTGAATCAACGTAAAAGCATTCCGTTCCACGGACGTCTTCAGCATATTTCTTGCTGCACGTAGCCGCATATCTTTGGAAATGCAATTTTTCACGAGAGCATAGATGGGCACAGCTCCAGCGGGTCTTCGACCATACAAGAAGGACGATCGATTTTGTAATAAGGATTCTGTCAAAAAATTATCTTATTTGAAATATCAGTCAGCGATTTTCCGTATCTGACTCTGTATATAGTATATATATGAATTAATTGTTGTAATCACACTTCATATCCTACAAATGATATAAGAATTTATGTGTATCAATTTGTATCATTTGTCATAACTATTTTGAACATTTACCTATGTCTATTCTAGTGCGAAGGTAATACTGATCCGATTGTACGTTATCGAGGAATTCGGTTACACCGAGCGGTAAAAATTGTTCTCCAGGCGCAAGCCATACTAAAGGTGCCCAATCTCGTACTAATCTTCTTACTATCAATAAGATTGGCAAATGAAAAAATATTTTTTATTATCGTAAGTAGAATGTGTGCAAAAGATGAGAATAATATATATATATATATATATATATATCGCGTGTTACACATATGGCACATACGCGCGGGATCGAGCGCATCTCTGACTCTCGGTTCAAGTGCAAGCCAGTTCTCCTTGTATATATCGAGCGAGAAACGAGCACGTAGGTCAACGCGAGATTCTCGTAACCCCATTACGGGAGTCTAAGGTGAAACAAGTTCCGCGCGGGTGTTTCTTGTGCTTCACGATCAGTAATTCATATCGTACGCGCGCGTTTTTCGCCAAGTCAAAGTTAAAAAGACATTCGATTGATTGTCCAATCGTGTCGATCGTTTGATCGTTAACGCGGTGAATTATAAATAGGATTACAAATAGGTCGTAGAACGTAACGATAATGTTTAGATATACGAGCCAAGTTGCGTGCAACGTAAACATAACGGTCTAATTTCGCTAATAGTCTCCTAATAGGTTCCTGTTGTACACGTTGGAGAGGCTCTCGTCGATAATTCTCGATATAAGACATACATCCAAGATACATATCAAATCATTAGCGAGCGTTATAATTCAACGTGATGAACGAGGCGAGTTTGCTGTAGGTGCGTCATTTTCTCAATCGATTCGGCGCGGCGCGACGTTCCGAAATATATCACCAAGTCGTTATACCTTTTAAAGCATGGGCAAAATCGAAAATTAACGCGAAACTTGTCTCAATCCGCTTACACTCGCTTTGCTTCTTTTGATCGTGTGGAACCGGTCCAGAAATGGGACGACCGATATTTAATCCTGCAGCCTGCGTGTATTCGTACACACGGAATAAATACGAATACATTTCATGAAAAGGAAATATCCTTCTGTGCGTCTATTTTTGCGCTTCGCGATCTTTTTCCAAATTTTAAATTGCATTTCGCTACTATTTCGTTGTGGTTTTGATTAAATAACAATCGAATGGAAACGTATTTTTGTTATTATAGTTTAGCATTGTGTTATTCCGCCGTGCAATCCTGATTGATTTATATAATACTCGACAGATTTTGTTGTTAAAGAATTTTATTGTTAAAGAATTTGCTATCTAAAAAAGGATAAGAGGAATGATATCGAAGAAAATCATGAATAAACATAAATTTTATTTTTAATTTTATTTTGCAATCCGCCACTCGTATAAATTCGACAAACAGCATATTTTTCTTCTTTCAAATCCTCTTACAACTTATAATTACAAGCGCAGTTTTACATAACAATTTATCATCTAGAGTAATATCGTGAATAACATTCGATTCACGATCGATCGAATAGATCAAGAATCGTGTCTTACGATATTTATTAAATCACAAAATTCGTCCTCCGTTTAAATATAATAAAGGTGTACTTGAATTTGAAGTAAACCGCACGAGAGGATGTAAAATCTCCCGATGCACGCGTCTCGTATCTCCGTGCATTAAAAGAAAAAGAAAAGAAAAGGACGGATTAAATGTTCGTTCAACTACACTCGCAGTTTATATCGATGTACAAATTAGATACATACCTCGTTTCTCATTGGTCGCGGACAGTCGCGATCCTGCGACCGCGTGAGTTACGACAAGTATAACAAACAATAATCCTGTCATGTTCGTTCGTCTTCATCAATCGATACATTTTGGAAAGAGGAGGAAACGCGATTGATAATCATCGATTCACATTTTTTTTTCTCACTATTCTTCGCATTTTTGAATTCGTGATTACCGGCTATGCGAGAGAAACAGTGTACATACGCGAGAGACGGAGATTCTCTTTGGTATCGACCGAACGGAAACGCTTCCCAGATTACTGACCAAAGCGCGACTACCTCGTTTTCCGTGCCGTTCACTAGACAAACGTTACAGAATACGCGCATCGCACATACGTATCGTCTCGCATTGCGAGATACGTATCGCGCGAGCAGTTTGATATTACAACAAAGTTATTTCAACTTATTAACAAACGAAAAGGAAAGCGGATCTCTCATGTATATCGCATCTCTCGCCATATATTAATTATTCATACAATCATCAGATATATTAGTACAATAATTGTATCTGTATAATTGTAATATATATATATATATATATATATATATATATGTGTGTGTGTGTGTATAGTTTCTCTTGTACTAATTACTTTATTATATAAAGATGAAGAAGGGGGGATAAGACTAATATCTTATAAGTATATATAATACTATTAACTATTTTAGTACCATTCGCTAGATACAATTTCCTGATTTCTAAGCAAACGTAACAGAAATTTCTGTAACATTTT